AAATACAAATATTATTGAAAAAATCAATTATTGGCACCCCATGCCAATTACTAAAATTTGACAATTATGATAATCAGTTATTGGCATACCATTTATAATGAATAATAACAAAAAAAATGTGTTGAAAACTGTATTTTTATATTAAAAAAGTTCTTAGAAACCAGTATATGTCATTTATAATTGAATAAAATAGCTACAAACTAAATAAGAGCTTAATTTCTAAGTGTAGTTAACYACAAAAATGGATAATATTGTACCTGTTTTTGGAAATCCTCTGGAGTGCTCGAAACCGGTGTAATTTATAAATAATGAAAAAAAAGTAGTAATCAACTATAACTGATAACAAAACATCAACAGTTTGTCCAGATAATAATAAAAAAAAAAGTTATAAGGCACTCAAAATGAACATTAATTACAAATAAAACAAATTTTTAGTGCCAATAACTATAGCAGTGCCAATAACTGTACACTTTACCCTATTTAACAATAAAAAGTTCAATCCATTTATTTAATTATAATAGACATTTTATTAGTTATTACTTATTAAAAATATCTTTTATTTATGGTAGCAAAGTATGGAATGGGAAGGGGCCCTTTAAATTTGGGGGCCCTGTGCTAGTGCACYGCCTGCACATGCATAAATCAGAGCCTGTACACTATATTATTATAAACTACATAGTTCGACCACGGAATAGATTACATCTATTCTGTGGTYRGACTACGAGATATTAACTTATTAGTTATTACTGTATCGTTTTAATAGCCGGCAACCGATAGCAGTAGGTAGTCTTAAACTGTTTGGTATTTAACATTTAAAAATACATTTATTATTAATATACTAATATTATCAATTGATGTTCATGAGCCCCCGGCGGCCCATATATTGAGCCGGCCCGGTGTGCTACGGTACACTAGCACACCTGGCCAGTCCGCCCCTGATAGAGACTATGGAAAAATTATTAATTGTATAATAAGTAGAAAAGAGCCTCAAAATTCAGTGACGTTACAACCAATCACATAATTTTATCAAATTTCAAGTAACCATCCATTGTATATTTTTATAGAAGTTTTTTAAAACAAAATAGATACCTACCTTATATTTTTTCAATTTAATAAATTTATTAATTTTAAAACATTAAAAATGCAATGTTTTTTAATATAGTAATATGTGATAGTAATAAACTATGTAATTATACTACATTACATTGAAAAATGAACTTAACCTGAGTTACTGTTTTATTATTTTTTTGATTGCACTWGGCCCTATTACATTCACCCTCACCCTGGCTATGACATTACTAATTTATGATAGTTTAATTTTATGTAGCATTCGATTCTCATTTCATCAATACTACTTAATTTATATTCCATCTCTAACAGCCCCTAATTACTTAATAATTGCCTCTGAGTTAGAACCGCCGATTAAGATTAAATAATTTATTAAATGTTCGTATAAATACTTTAATACTAATTTATGTTACGTTATAGAATAACATAAACAAGACTTAAATGTAAACAACATATTCATACTTATTAGTTATTTTTACACTACCAAAAGTAGAAA